GCGTGCGTGCGTGCGTGCGTGCGTGCGTGCGTGTGTGTGTGTGTGTACAGCATTCTTACTCCAGGGTCTTTGTTAAGTGTGTGTGTGTGTATGTATGTATGTATGTATGTATGTATGTATGTATGTATACAAAGCATTCTTACTCCAGGGTCTTTGTTTTTATGTGTGTGTATGTGTGTGTACAGCATTCTTACTTCAGGGTCTTTGGTTTTTAAGTGTGTGTGTACAGCATTCTTACTCCAGGGTCTTTGTTAAGTGTGTGTGTGTGTGTGTGTGTGTGTGTGTGCGTGTGTGTGGGCGTGTGTGCGTCTGTGCACACCAGGGTCTTTGTTTTTAAGAGAGTGTGTGTGTGTGTGTGTGTGTGTGTGTATGTACACAGCATTGTCACTCCAGTGTCTTTGTTAAGTAAGTGTGTGTGAGTGTGTGTCCCTTTAGAATGTCCTTTGTGTTTTTGCTATCCAGTGTCACATAGTCATGGGTCTGTCCATGGAAGGATGATGGTCAACCTTTCCAGTTTATTCAGGAGTGAGTGATTGCTGAGCCTGAGAAGGCTTCAGGATCAGGATGAATTGCTCACCCTGCTGGTCTGTTACCCACAAATGGTTATATAGTAGCAAAGTAAGGTCCATGGCCTTGGTGATTTGGCCAAGTTCAAAACAGGTTCATTTTGCCTCTTCCATTAGTTAGGTTGGGTCCTCAGGTGTCTGCTGTACTGTTAACATACGTGATAAACAATGAGGTTTGGCCTTGGTTTTGTTTTTTTGAGACAAGTACTCACTGTGTAGTTTTTGCTGGTCTGGAACAGAGATCTGACTGCCAACTGAAATTTGTGAGAACTTTATTTTTTTCTGGCACCCGGCTACTAGTACCTAAACTCAGTATAGATTATGGTTTACATCTTACAATCCTGTAAGATGCTACCAAGAAAAGGGTATAGTGAGGGTTTAGGGCATTTTACTTTTCTCTTGAGTCTGGAGCAAGTCATGTGAATTTCCTTAAATCTATGATTCATTTTGCCATTCCTCCCTCCCTTCATTTCTTTTTAACAGGGTCTCATGTAGCTCAGGCTGGTCTTAAATTCACTGTGCCACTGATGATGAACTTGGACTCCATCCTCCTGCCTCTGCCTCCTGACTGCTGGGCTGCAGGTTTGTCCCACCACACCTGGTTTTATCAGGGCTTCACATGTGCGAGCACTCTACCTACTAAGCTAGCTTTGTATTGAACATTGGAAGCAGTATCGATCGAGCAGACAAAGTACTTAGCTATCATTAGTTGGAGGCTGATTGCACACCCAGGTCCTGTGGTTGGTACACATTTTATCATCCCTGCAAAGGTAGAAATACCTTCATTTCACAGATGACAGCCCAGGGGCGGTGCCAGGGAATTGAGCAAATTACCTGAAGTTCCCCATGCATGGTTTGGAGTCTGTCCTGCCTTTCCTTCACTGTTGCCTGCAGGACTAGGAAATAAAACCTCTCTCAGTAGATGCTGTATCTGCCTTGATTAAGACAGGAGTTGCTAGCCCACTGGACTTGTATGTCTCTTTGAAAATCTGGTGAATGCTACCAAGACCCTTCCAGAGACTGCACATGGCTGTATGCTGGGCATGTTCACCTTACAGTTCTTGGTCCCAGGATTGCTATGAAAGTGGCCCATCACATTTGTAGATGACATCATGCCACAGTGTCAAAAGGTTGGATGCCCCTGCAATGCCTACCTATTTTGCATATGACTTGGGGGACTAAATGAATTTCTTGATGTCCTTGCCCCCCAGTTAAAAGTTCCTATCTTCCTACCCAAATGCAATTCAAGGTTGTAGAAGCGGGCTGGGAGTGTAGCTGCATGGCAGATGCTTGCCCAGTGTGTGAAGGGCCCTTGGCTCAACTCCTAGCACCTTAAAAAGCATCTGCCTTTAGGGATCACAGGTGTCAGTTTCTTAGCTGCGGCTGGGGACCACCCCCAGGCTCAGAGTGAAGTGGCACCATGCCTTTAATTCACCAACAACAGTCCTTAACCCTGGGAGAAAAACCCCTTCAAGGAACTGGGTCCCTAGGGTGCCACATGTCTGCTTGTGGCTGCTGTTTGGCAGTGCTACACCAGGAGATGCCTGCTTTGGAAAGATAGAAAATAGCCAACTTCCGGCACTCCTTGGCATCCAAGTATTTCTGGGTATGATCTGTCTTAATTTAGATTTGAATTCAGAAACCTTTCACCACAGTTGCTTGTCAAACAGGTCCTACTAGACCAGTGGTTCTCAACCTTCCTAATGTCGTTCCTTAATACAATTCCTTATGTTGTGGTGGCCTCAACCATAAAATTATTTTCATTGCTACTTCATAATTGAAATTTCACTACTGTTATGAATCATAATGTAAATATCTGTTTTCTGATAGTCTTAGGTGACCCCTGTGAAAAGGTTGCTCAACCCCAAGGGGTTGTGACACACGGGTTGAGAACCCCTACGTTAGAGCCTTTCGCCTAAATTGCCTTTAAGTCCTCATGGTGATAGAATCATCTCTAAATGCATTCTAGGGTTTGGAGGCTCACCATAGAAACAAAACACTGTAAACTCCCAAGGTAAGCTGGGAGTCTTCAGGCTTCTGTCTAGAGACTGGTGATTCTCATAGGCAAAGCAACCAGGACGCCAGTCTCTCTGCCCCAGTGTCTGTTCAGTTTCTAGTGCTCTTCATGGTGATAGAAACTCCACGCTGAACCGCCACACTGTGCACACACGGTGGGATGGGCTCTTCTAGCACTCAAGACAGGCGTAGTGTGTGTAGAGTTGCCTCTTAGGATGGGAGCCTGCTGAAGGGGAGGCCCAAGTCCCAACACCTGTCTCTGTCTACCACTGTGCTGCCTCTTAAGACTGCCAGCTGCCTTTCAATCTCTGGAGAAGTTTGTGTACACACACCTTCTGCCATAGCTTTCAAGAGAGCAGTAACGGGTGGAGTGTGGATGTTGTGACTTGCTTCTGACACTGCCGGAAGAGCCAGCCATTCTTACTGACCCTGCATTTGTTAGTTAGAACTATGTGGTATTTTCTATAACTGTGAATATATACAAGTATAGCTCTTCAGTGAGAGCCTTTTCTTTGTAAAGGATTTTATTTGTGTGCGTGCGTGCGTATACATGTGGGCAGACGAGGGCCTCAGGTCCCTGGGAGCTGGCCTTCCAGGCAGTTGTGAGCTGCCTGCTGCAGCTGCTGAGAACAGAGCTCAGGTCCTTTGGAAGAGGGCAAGCGCTCCTGACCACTGGCCATCTCTCCAGCATCACGAGCTTTTTGAGACAAGGTTTCTTTATGCATCTAAAGCAGCTTCAAACTTGTAATCCTCCTGCATCAGTCTGGTGCTGAGATGGGCACTTGTCCAGCTAGTAGGACCTGTCTTTACATGCGCATAGCTTTACTCTCATTTTTATCAATAAAGACTCCATAAGGAAGGGTTGGATTTAGTTTCCTTTTCTAATATATTCAAACCCTTTAAGATTCTGAAGCAGTCTAAGAACTTCTTTGACATTTTGTAGCCGAATGGGAGCTCAGGCAGCTGCACACACATGGGCAAGCGTATGCATGACGGACTCTGGGCCAGCTTGCTTGCATTAAAATCAAGGTCGGTCCATTTACTGGCTGTGTGGTTGGCTCAGTTATCTAAACTCCGAGGTTCCTGGTCGTCTGTGAAATGGTGATGCCGGTGATGCCCTTCTGAGAGGGTGATTAACAGAGTTCTTAGCACACGGTAGGAGCTCGGGCACTGCTAGCTGCTCTGATACTTTTTCGTCTAAATTCTCTGCTTTGTCCGCAGAACTATCACATCAGACGTTAAATACGAAACCAATTTTCATTCTCCTTGTATTGGATTCATTACAGTAGAATAAGTACGGAGTCTAGATGTATGAGTTAGGGCCATTGGAATGCGTGGTGACTGTCTAGCCGTGTATCAGATTGAAAGCGAGAGAAATGGGCATGTTTCTGGTCAGCAGAGCATGCCCACATGCGTTTGTACCTCACAAACAGTCTGTGAGAGTCACTCAGGGGGTTTGCTTCCTGGGATGTCTTGGTGAAACAATGTCTCAGTTAGGGAAATTCTGTCTTGGGCAAGTTGGCTTTTCTTTTAATTACTAATATTAGGACTTTTACTAATTACTTTTTTATATTTCAAACTTGTTTACAAATGCTCCTCTAGAATAATGGGGAAGACGGTAGAGTCACGAACAACTCGTAAGCATGACCCATTGTGATGTCCGACAGCCTTGGGCCCCTCTGCTGTCTTAGGACGGACGGGGTGGGAGACTTGGTTGTTGCAGCACTATGTAAGATGCTCACCTATAACTTCGGAATCTAAATATCTTTTTCAGGCTGCAGAAGATGTCAATGTTACTTTTGAAGATCAGCAAAAAATAAACAAATTTGCTCGAAATACGAGTCGAATCACTGAGCTAAAGGAGGAGATAGAGATGAAGAAGGTAGTGGTTACCGTGTGGCGTCTGTTTTAGGAGTTTGTAGGGTAGGGCCGCCCTTAAAACTGAACCATATTCAGCAAGTGTTAGCTTCCTCATGGCTGCTTGTCCCCAGTCACTGTCTGTTGTCTCTGTCTGTCTGCTCAGTTTACACAAAGGCTTGTTTTTGTTTGTTTTGAGGTAGGGTCCCGCCTTGTAAAACTGTCCTACAATTTACCATGTAGCTGAGGCTATCCTCCAACTCATAGTCCTGCCTCAGCCTCCTTACTAGTCTGGTTATAGGTGATGCAAGCCCAGCTCAAGAGGTCATTTGTGCCCTTGAGAGAGGTGGGGTAACAGAGTGAGTGAGGCTTTTGAGTCTAGTGTAAAGTTTCCCCAGTGCAGTTCTGTACCCGTGCTGAGGATTTGCCTGGGGATAAAACCGCACTGTGTTTACTGATCCTGGAGCCCCACAGACACAGGGACACAAACTGTGGCTGCATGTCCTGTAACCCTTGAGGTCTGTGCTTGGCTTTTTGTGTCATTCTCTCAGTGTTCTAGTTCAAGTGCACACATCAGATTTAACTGTTCATACTATCTGTCCTCTTGGGCAAGCAAGGCTGAGAGGGGAAGGGTGTGACTTCTGGTGCTTTGGTCTTTGTTTCTGTGGGATGAAGGATTCCCAGCGTGGGGAATTGTTAAGTAGAAGTGAGTGGCCGTGCACACCTGCTGACCACCACAGAGAGAGGAGCATCTTGGTACTTCCAGAGCTACCCAGAGGGTGCCGTGCTGGCTCCGAGTGAGTCCGTGGTCACATCTCCATGTCTGACAGTAGTGCTGTGCCCTGGTCCCTCAGAGAGCCCATGTCCCTGCATTAGAGTACTCTTGGTTCTTTCACGAAAGCGTGGCCTCGTTGTCATGGCTGTGCTCTTTCTGACAGAAACACCTCCAGAATTTAGAAGACGCTTGTGACGACATCATGCTGGCAGATGACGACTGCTTCATGATCCCGTACCAGATTGGAGATGTTTTCATTAGCCACTCTCAAGAAGAAACCCAGGAAATGTTAGAAGAAGCAAAGGTGTGTGCGGGTCTCTGGGAGACGAGATCTAGTTCTCGGATTGGGAAGCAGGTCATTAAAAAGAATGCACCATTGCAGGTGGAGGGAAATAATGGTGCCAGCTAACATTTAAGGTTTGGTGCAGCAGCCCAGGCTCTGAGCACTTTGCCAGTGTGGTTATTAATCCACACAGCATAATTGAGAGTGAGGGACAGAGGCTCAGAGGTTCCTGGACTTACAAAGTGGCACATGGCTGCCGTCTTCTGGCCCCAGAACTTTGTTTCCAGCTGAGAACATTGAGATGTACTAGCGTATTATGAAGTAGAAAGGAATCCTTGGGAGCCACACCATCTGGTGCCGCCATCAGTGGTGAGCCCGCTCGCTTCCTTTTCCCTTAGCCCTCACCCCAGTTCCCTCTATGTAACTGCTCCACATGTGGGACAGTTAGCATTGCGAGGGAACACTTTCTCTGTCGGATGCTGGTTTATCTAGCACACTGGTCGGGAAACACACAGACCTCTAACACATCACCGTCTTCTGACTTGTTTGAGGCCATCTTAATACTGTGTTGACGGCCATTGATTTGCTCATGGTGCCTTTAGTAGCATTAATTTATTTCCGATATTTTGCTGTAGTAACGTTCCCATGAGCCATCTTATGCATAAGTGGGTGTTCACATTTAGAAGCTTGTTGTGAAGAGGTAAGGAGAAGTGTGATTCTGGGCTTGAAGCTGGCTGCTTTGGCAGTGCCCAGTGCGAGGGCGTGTGAAATTAACTCCACGAGGTTTCTAGCCTCCCGGTGTGTGAGAAACTGGTGACAGTTGCCTCTGCTATTGTTGCCTTACTAGCTTGAATGTTACGTAAAATGATAGCTTCTGCTTCAGATTTCTAAGACAAAACTCCCCATGGATGGAGTCTGCATCCAGTAAGCCTTGAGAAGGGGCTGGAGAGAAGCTGGGAGGGTATGAGCACTGGCTGCTCTTCAGAGGCCCCGGGTTCAGGTCTCAGCAGAGACTGAGACTGCAGCCATGGCACCATGATGAGCTCGGATTGGCCTGAGTTAAAGATTTGCACATGCAGACTTTGGTCTTTGATTTTTATTACTGTCAGTTTGCTCCTGACCAGTTTAGAGTTCTTTATCTAAAATTCCTGCCAAATATAATCCCAGACCATGTGCTTGTAAATTATCCAGCTGAAGCCAATTAATTTAAACTGTTTCTTTTCCAGAAAACTTTGCAAGAAGAGATAGACGCCTTAGAGTCCAGAGTGGCATCCATCCAGCGGGTATTAGCCGACCTGAAAGTGCAGTTATACGCAAAATTTGGCAGCAACATAAACCTCGAGGCGGATGAAAGCTAAACATTTTATAATACTTTTTTTTTTTTTTTACCTTGTTTAATAAACTTGAATATTGTCTTAAATGATAATTTCCCTTCTTCAAATGAAACGAAAGGAAAACTTTCTTTTTAAGAATTTTTCATTTAATTAATGGAAACTTGCCTATTTTCACATGTCTTGCTTATTTATTTTATATTTTTAAAAGAAGACAGTATTCATGTATGTATTTTGCATAATGATTATATCAACTTTAGGGGCTTTATGTCATGTTATTAAAATCAGTTAAACAGTCTGTTTCTACATTATCATTTAAAGGTTCTTGCGATTTCCATTCTTAAGAAACCCAAGGAAGCTAGGCTAAAGGGAATGGTGACCTCAGAGCAAGATCCCACCCAGCTAGGTTTCCACCTTGTGAAAAGGAATTAAAGAAAAGCTTAGATCCCATGATGGCACATGCTTTCTTTAATCCCAGCACTCCGGGAGGCAGAGACAGGTGGAAGGTGGATCTCTGTGAGTTCAAGGCCAGCCTGGTCTATAAGCAGGGCTACACAAGAAACCCTGTCTCAAAAAACCAAAAAAAAAAAAGGAAAGAAAGAAAGAACCTTAGAACTGGATTGGTCGGTGGATAAGCATGTCCCGGTCAAGTCTGATGAGCTGTTTCATCTCTGGGGCCCACATGGTGGAAGGAGAGAACCAGCTCCCCCAAGTTGTCCTCTGACCTCCACATGTACCCCTCCCCACCCCAGGGTAGTGAACTAGCTGCTGCTATTTCAGGCAAGGAGGAGGGTCTTTTTGTTTTTTAAAGATTGTTTATTATTTTTATTCACGCATGTGTGAGTCTGTGTGTACTACATGTGTACAGTCCCCATGGGGCCAGGGGTTTAAGATCCCTTGGATTTGGAGGCATGGGCAGTTTTGGTCAGCACAGGACGTGGACGCTGGGAACTAAACCCAGGTCTTCTGCAAGAGCCTCCCTCCAGGAGGATTTTATGTGGTTTTGAGATAGGATCTCACCGTGTTGGCCCGGTTAGCCTGCAACTCCACCTGGAGACCAGGCTGGCCTTGAACTCACAGAGACCCACCTGCCTCTGCCTCCGGAGGCAGATAAAAGTGTATGACACTCCACCTATTCTTTTTTCTTTTCCATATTAGTTGTGTCCTATTGCCTGCCCACCTGACTTGAGTGGCTGGCAGTGAGTCCTAGCACAGTGATGTTTGGCTTCTACCTGCCTGCATTGTCTCCTTCACAGCCAATTCTTGCTAACGACATGTAGGTATAACATGTGTCTTAGGCCTATGTAACATATATGTATCCCTGTGTTGTGGATATTGGCAATACCCAGACCAAAGAATGATCCATGTCATTCTTCATACAAACAGAAAAATAAGATGTTTTAGAAAATGAGGTCTGTAAAAGATGTTTACTTAATTTTTTTGTTGATGTTTTTAAGCATTTGTGTGTGGGTATGTGTGGAGGTCAGAGACAACTTTTGGGGATTATCCTGTTCCACCATGTAGGCTCAGGGGATTGAATTCAGGTTATCAGGCTTGCCTGCACGCACCTTTACCTGCTGACCCATCTCCTGCTCCCCAAATATTTATGCTTTTAGTTAAAGTTAGCTTTAGATTTGTAGTCTTTGTGAGTAAATGCTCATACTGACAAAGATGTAGACACCAAGCCACCGTGTTTAAAAGCAAGAGCTATTTTTGAGATGAGTACATACTCTCATCCCTTCCCCTAAGAGACATGTGTATTAGTGACTCTTCTGTTGCTGTGATGAGATGGCATGACCAAGGCGACTTACAGAAGGAATAGTTTACAGTGTGTTGTGGCGAGGGAAGCATGGAAACAGGAAGCTGAGATAACAGCTAAAAGCCCACAGCAGACACTGAACTGGAGGGGAGGAGTAACACCCCCCTCTCCCCCCCAGTGCTATGCTTCCTCAGCAAGGCCGTAGCTCCTCCAAACCTCGCTAACCTCATCAAATGGTGCTGCTGACCAGGGCTAAGTGCTCAGATACTTCAGCCTGTGGGCTGTGGGGACAGTTCTCATTCAAATCATCACGTGTGTCCCGGAGCTGGAGCTGGAAGGCCTGTGTACTAACTTCCCAGCAGATGGCACTAATGTGCCAGAATACCCAGAGAAGTGTCATTGTGCCAGACTGGGCTACTTTTAGGATTAGTAGAATTGTAGAAGAGATTGTTTAACCTTCAAGGGTCAGCATTGCAATATGATTATTTTTGGTAAATCTTTGTAAATAAGCTTAAAGATGGATGGGTATATGATTTCTGAAATTCTTAACAAAGACACTGGTTTTAAGATTTATTTTTAATTTGTGTGTGCCCCACTCTGGGCTCTCCTGCTGACATTGTGCAGGCGCCTATTGAGGTCAGAAGAGGCCATACCCTCTAGAGCTGGAGTTAGAGGCAGTTGTGAGCCACTTGCTGTGAGTGCTGGGAGCCAAATCTGGGTTCTCAGAAAGGAACAAGCAGTCTTAACTACTGAGCCCCCTCTCTAACCTCAAGGCAAACATTTTTTTTGAGACAGAGTCTCTAATATATAGTTCTGGCTGTCCTGACTATGTAGATCAAGCTGGCCCTGTTATGGGAATCTTGTCTATGCTGTGGCCCGTTGTCCAATTAGAGTCAGGCATTGGTTCAAAAGACAGGCTTTACATTCAGCTGGTTGGGATGGATCATAGAGTTTTCCAGGACCCCACCCCAGGGGAGGCAGGCAGGAAGGAGGCAGAGGCTCAGGCCCCTCTCCAGCCTGGAGCCAATGGAGATGGTGTGTTGTGGTTTAGTCTGTCTCAGGTTCTTGTCTTTATTTTTTGTCCCTGAGTTTTAATAATAAACGTTAAAAGAAGCCACTATAGAGATTCACATGCCTCTGCCTCCTAAATGCTTGGATTAATGATGTACACCACCAGGCCTGGCCTCCAAGTCAAGCTTAAATTGCTGCAAAAAGAATCTAGCAAATGACTCACAAGGGTTTTTCTTTTTCAAGCATTTGGTTAATGTGCTGTTAGAGGCTTAAGGCTGAAGTAATTCAGTCAGGAAATTGGTAACAGTGAGATCCAAACTAGCCTGGGCAGTGTAGTGAGGCTGTCTCAAAAGCCCATACCAGAGTTTGGGAAAGAGCTCAGTAGTTAAAAGCCAAGGGCCATTACAGCTCTTGCAGAGGACCAAGTACCCATGCTGGTGGTTCACATTCACCTATCATTCCAGTTCCAGGAACCGACACCAGGGCACTTGTACCCACACAGAGAAAAACATATCACTAAAAACTATGTAAAAAACAAAAACCAAAAAAACCAAAACCCAAATCGAGATTCGGGCATGAGGGTTCTGCCACAGAAATGGACCAGTGTTTCATAGCGATTTACTCTCGAGTGAATCTGGTCCCTCTTGATTGCCCTTCTTTCTGCCTTCATTGGGATGACACAGCCAGAAGCCCTGGCTAGATGCCGGCTGTGTGCTCTGGATCCTCCCAACCTCCTGAGTTGTAAGAAGGCAAACTGTTCTTTAAAAGTTACCTGCCCCAGGCAATCTGTTTTAACCACATAACTGAACTAAAACACAAGCCTGGGGTGATTCTGAAACAGAAAGAAGACCAGCCTGGGTGAAATAATTTTATTCTTTAGGGGTCAGCAGGGGTGAGCCACTCAGACCATCCATGAACCAGGTTACAGGGGCATCTTGTTCTTTGACCCAAGGGCTTAGGGATGGAGGGTGGCTGGAGGCACCCTGGCTGCTGGCAGTGAACAGATCATAAAAGATTAAACTGTAGGCGACGTGAAAGTATTCTGACAAGGAGCTTAGTGCTGGTGCTGGGTGGAAGGCAAAGCCTTCAGAGGGTTAGGGGAACGGTGTCTGTTACCCTGTCTCTAGGGTTGGATCCTGTCCCCCCCTTCCCCCCCCCCACCAGCCCTGACAAGCTGGCCTTGGCCACTTGGAACAGGCCAATGAAACAGTCATGTAATAGTGGAGGGCAGAGAGCCGAGGGAGGTAGATTTATTCAGTGGCTGCAATGGGAAGAGGGACAGATAAACAGGTTTGGTGACCTTACCCAACCTAAGTCTGCATTGAGAGTGCTATCTTGAGATTTAGGTTTAAACAGAGAGCAAGAGACACGTGTAGCTAAGGGCACTCTGGTCAAAGTGTGTTTCTGCCCCTCATTGACCATCTTTGCCTCTGCTCCTGTCTCTCCTGCAAGGTGGTCAGGCAGGCTGTTGTAGCTCTGTGAAACGGTCCAGGAAACACACCCTCTGTCTGGCAGTACCAGGCCGAAGCCCCCTTTCTTCTCCCAGCGTGTAGTTCTTCCTGGGAAAATGGCAATTCCTTGGGGGCCATTTGTCTCAACTCTGATAGCCAAGGTGAGGGGCATGAGAGCCTCCTTAGAATGTCTTCATTCCTTCCAGGACAGTTACAAAAGATTTGCTCCTGGTGGCCCTAAGAAGCTAGGCTCATGGATGTCAACAGATACTCAAAAGCAGGCAAAGGGGTGCATTCAGCATGGCCCCATTGGAGAAGAGGGGCAGTGAGGTGCGTCTTCTGAGGCCTGGCGTGGGCACCCAAAACTGAGAGTCCTGCCCTTCCTTCATGGACCCATCTATCCTTGTCTTCACTCCAGTCTTCCTTGCAATGCAGTATAACAAGCTTGTCAGAAAATGTGAAATCTCCTTGAAGAAGCAGCATAGAGATGAGCCTCCCCTCCGACTGCCACCAGGTCCCCAGCCTTTCCCTTCCCTAGGATGAGACACTTGGGAAATTATAATTTCTTTTAAAAAATTAGTTTGTGTGTGTGTGTGTGTGTGTGTGTGTGTGTGTGTGTGTGTGTGTGACAGACAGAGACAGAGAGACAGAGAGACAGAGAGACAGAGACAGAGACAGAGACAGAGAGAGGAGGAGGAGGACATAACCAGGAAGAGAAGGACACATCTGGGACTAGAAGCCAGGCAGCCACAAGATGGCAGAGACAACAGGAAAGAAAGATATACAGAAAGAAAAAGGTAAAAAGCACCTAGGCAGAACCTAGACGAAGAGAAACAAGTTAAAAGAGCTGACAAGAAGACAGCTAAGCTAGTCTGAGCATTCACAGCGAATAGT